GGTGCGGGTGCGACACTGAGGGTTGCGATCCATTGCCGGACACGAAAAAAGACAAAAAGGAAAAAAAAAAAAGAATAAATTTAGTTGTAAAATAAAAATTATGCTCTCGTGTATGAAGGTGAAAACATGAAGACCTGAGTTTCTTGCTTATTAGAGTATCTGTTAGACAATTTCCAGTTAGCACAATATATTTTTAAAATATTTTCTTTTGCATATTTTATAAATATTGAGTAAATAAAATCATAGTTTTTATTTTTTGAGATCAGAATAAGATAGAATTATTATGATATGAATTTCTAAGTAGTTATCTTGTTTTTTTACTAGAAACAAACAATTATATGAAATGATGCAGAAAGAAATCCATATTCCTGTAACAAAAATCCGGTATGTAAACTTCTTTTCCAGCAGATTTAATTAGAAATTAGAAGTAAGTGGTAGATGCTCTTAGTGTTTTCATCATTACGATTATTCAGAATTTCAAAAAGAACTTATGCCTAGCTTTTTTGCAACAAAATTCTTGGTCATAGGAATTTGGAGAGAGAAGCTAATTTCAGACTTATGGAGAATATAACAATATGAAATTTAGGAGCATGTTGGCAGCTATGTGTGTATTATATACATCTCCAAAGTCTCTTTTTTTTGTGTGTAGCTATCCTTTTGGCATCAAAGCATCACATTTCTTGACTTTCTTTGCTTTGAGATCCAAACGGATTTTTATGTTGGCTTAGTTTGTTATACTTGGCCTATTTTGAACTAGTCCCAAAAGAAACAGGACAGGTGAGAAAATAAATGGCAGGAGTAAGGAAAAATCCACTAAGACACTAAGACCCAGTAAGGTCCTCTGTTAAAGATTGCCTGTAAGGCAGTTGGTCAGAGTGTGGTGTGATAATACCAAGGTTAAGGGTTTAGATCCCTATATGGGCCAGTTGGGAAAAAAAAAAAAAAAATCTGAAAAGATTACCCAGTGAAGTCCTCTGTTAGCAGGTCAATGCTGAGTAATATAATATTGGAATTAGTAAGTTAACTTATAAAATAAAATCAAGATTTAAGAAAAATAAAAGTGACCTGCTTAAAAAGAATAATAATAATTTTGTTGTAGTATTTTATCTCACATATTTTTATCTCCACAGGGCAGATGGAGGAGTTTGTAAGAACGGTTTTGTCATGCAGATGACTTCAGACTTGATTAATGAGAATATAGACAGACCCGTCCACATTGACATGTCGTGCCTAGGTGCAGCTTCTCTAGCTGGCCTTGCTGTTGGTATGTGTGGATTTTATAAAAATGAGAGCTTTCTTGAAAACTATTTCTTACAGGTAGCATTTCTCTCAAATCATAAAACTGTAGAGAGGATCTGGAAAGCTTTGTCCATGAAGCTCCATACACGTATGCACATTGATCACAAAATACCCTGTGACCTCCTCTGTTGGTAGGTCTGCTTGCACCTCTTCCATCTTTACTTCACTCCTTCAATTCAAAGAAGTATGAGGTGAGAACAATTAATTCTCCACTGCTTTGGTTTCTAGCAAGAGAGAGTCTCTGGGTAAACTTTTGGGATACATAGTGTTAAAGAAAAAAATTATTCAATGCCACTTGTTAAAGAACAGTAAGGCAGACTTTATTCAGGGGGACTACTGCAATGGGATCTTGTTGTAGGGGAGAGAAATTAGGCTCAACTTTGAACACAACAAGGAAGAGTGAGAATTTATAGACAAGGAGCAGGGTGGGCATCAGTAGATGGAAAATTACTAAAAAGAAACATGAGGGGGTAAAGGGAAATTCTGGCTAAACCGACCTAACAGGATTCTTGCTGAAGGCAGGACAGGGTTATCAGACATCACTTGGGGGATGGTGGAAGATAATTAGATATCAAGGGTGGGGGATTCTGGCTAAACTGATTCATCAAGATTCTTGCTAAAATTAGGTAATGCAAGGATGAATATAGAAGTTGAGGCCTAGATGAAAAAGAGTTCAGAGGAGCCTGAGTAGAGTTTGGTCAAGTAGAGAGCCTTTGTCAATAGGCTTGTCTTTGGGCTAACTGGTCAGCTCAGTTGGTCAGAACAGGTTCAGATCCCAGTACTAACCAGCTGCAAAACATAAATAAATAAAATAAAAAATAGGTTTGTCTGTGACATTAGAAACCACTTCATTATTTATTTATTGAACAGCGTTTGTTGAGCACCTGCTGCATGACAGTCACCTCTGGGAATTAAGAGATTAAAAGCCATAGTTTCTGATATCTGGTAGGAACAGACAGATAAGTTACTTGATTATCAAACTTGTGTGATAAGCCCAGAGGACAGCAATGGTATCGAGCAAGTGGTGTTGGCCTCCCAAAGAAGGGGACATAGCTCAATTTTGAAGGGGTTTGCGGACAGCCAGGTCAGAAGAGGATAAGAGATGGATGATTGAACAGAGCAAGCAGCTTGTGCAAAGGCACTGACCTATTATGGGAAGTGCTGATGTAGTGAGGGTGGGAGGGAAGCTGGAGAGGTCCTCATAAGGAGCAATGTGGACTTGATCCTGAAGGCCTTGGAGCTGCTGAAGAATTTTAAGCAGGGAGAGACAGGGAAAGATCTGCATTTGAACAGATCACTTTGACAATTAGTGAAAGGATTAGTGAGGAAGGATAAAGAGTGGAGGTGGGGATGCCAAGTAGGGGGTACCCTAGGAAGCAAGATGATGCTTTGGGAGACTGGGAGTCTTTTAATGTGTTTTTGATTGGGGAGGGGGGAATGATTTGTGCAAAGTAATATTTTAGATTTAAAAATTTTAGGCTAATATTTAGCATATTAAAGTTACAAATCCAAAAAGCAGGAAGTCTTGGCAAATTCAGTTTAAACTTTATTCTACTAAAAAATATGATATTTTTGAATAAAATTAAAACCATCACTTTCATTTGTTCATTGATTAATATTTGATTAACTCAAGTTGGAGAAAATAACTTTTCCTTTATCAGTCCCATTTGCAAATTAACTTGTATATATTCCAGCTCCTATTAACTTAACATAGTTGATTTTCTTTTAATGTTTCAAATGCCTGATTGTGCAAACTTAGAATGGTAACAAGAAAAATCTTCTCAAATACTTAAACAACTCTTGAAAATTGAATAAATTAAGCTTATAATTATAGTAAATCAAGTTCTCATAAATATTCTAATATTTATAAGGTTAATCAAGTTCTTCTACACTTTTCACATTATAAGACTAAATATGTCAAATTCTCTCGAACATTTAAAATACTTCAACAAACACATGCAGGTTATTCTTACACATAACAATGGCTTGAATTCTGTCTGCCTCATCTGTATTTAATTTCAAACCTTTATTTCTCTCTCAGAAATATGAGACCTGAAGACTATGTACATCCTCTGTGTTTTCTAAGTTACCCAGAAACTGGGTCTGTTCTGTACATGTTCAATAAAATGACTTTTAAATATATATATGCCTTAAAATGTAAATAATAGGCTCTGGAAATAAGGATTTTAAGAAACATTTATTTTCATTATTAGATTTATCTAACTGTAGTGTATCAATGAAAACTATTTTTAGTATTTTTTTTAATGGTGGGTTATCATGATAGATTTTTAATCTTTTTTGAACTTCTATAAACTAATACCTTTAAATATAAATGGTTTGACTTTATAGATAAAAAGAATGTGACGTGTCAGAAAATTTTATTTTATTTATTTATTTATTTATTTTTTTAAAAAGATGACCGGTAAGGGGATCTTAACCCTTGACTTGGTGTTGTCAGCACCACGCTCACCCAGTGAGCTAACTGGCCATCCGTATATGGGATCCGAACCCGTGGCCTTGGTGTTATTAGCACCGCACTCTACCAAGTGAGCCACGGGCCGGCCCAGAAAATTTTAGAAAAAATAATTTTATGTGTTAGCTTTATTGGTGACAGAAAATGTGCTTCATGACTTGTAGACTATTCGTACTTCAGAATAGGTGAGATGTACCTCTAAGTAGGTGAGATGTACCAAGCTTATTAACAAGACACCTGTATCATTTCAGATTATTTAAGATTGTAGTTATAAATGGTCTCTTGCTGCTTTTTATTATAAATGTCATGATCCTCTTTGCACAGAACAGTATTTACCTCTAAGTAGGTGAGATGTACCAAGCTTATTAACAAGACACCTGTATCATTTCAGATTACTTAAGATTGTAGTTATAAATGTTCTCTTGCTGCTTTTTATTATAAATGTCATGATCCTCTTTGCACAGAACAGTATATACTAGAACTACAGTATTATCTTGAACTGGAATTTAAATAACTTGTATGAAATGCTATAGTTTTAAAAAGAAACTATCATATTAATTTCCTCAAGATGTATGACAAAAATCTTAATGTATCTTCATTTATTTTAATTATGGAGAAAAAAACGTACTGTTTCTTCTTACTTAGGATTTTCCTTTTAATAGCTAGTCATAAACTTAAATGACAGGTTGTAGCTGCTTCAAAAGTGATTTTATGCCCTGCCAAACAGAAAGCTGAAAATTAGAAACCAAAAGATTTTATTTATTTATTTATTTTTTCCAAAAGATTTTAAAATCCTGGTGTTTTTATTTCCAGGAATGGTCAATCTAACAAAATTCAAAAACAACAAAATATTTTGGGTTGTGTTTTAAAATAGTAATTGTTTACCTTTGCACCAATTCACATAAGTTTGTGGATACATTTTATGGATTCATTATTTGCCTTAAAATTTGAAAATAATTTTTTTTTTATCTATAGGGTTTTGGACTGACAAGGAGGAACTAAAGAAACTTAGGCAAAGTGAAAAGGTTTTCAGGCCACAGAAGAAATGTCAAGACTATGAAATGAGTATGGAAAACTGGGTCAAAGCAGTGAAACGCTCCATGAATTGGTACAATAAAACATAACACTAAACGAAATGATCGCAACCGTAGATGGCTGTTTGACATGACATGCAGATGAAACAAAGTTCAGGAATAACCAATAGGATGATGAATGAGAGAAGATTTAAAATGAACTTCACAACCTGAGAGACAAGCATTGTTTTCAAAACAAACAAAAAAACTTATTTTTAAAACCAAACTTTGGTAAGATCGTAAGGCAGCAATACCTCAAAACTTTATGTCCTTTGTTTTGTAGTAAATTCCAAATGATATCAGCCATTTCCAGCCATATTTTGATAGTTATGGGTCTTCCTCCTTTTTATACTGGGTCAGTAGTACATAGGAACATGATTGTTTACTATCTGAACTAATAGTTCTGGGTTAAACACCATTCACGTTTTGTTCCAAAATTGTGTGAAAAGTATTTCTTCAATTCTTTAAAATTAAGTGTGCTATTTAAAGTCTATGTAGCTAAAAAAAGAATAACTGAGAAAATGTGGAATTTAGAAACATTAATATTTTATGTTTAAATCATACTTCTTCAATGTCATATCCAAATATGAGCTCAATATGTCTGTCTCAGATAAGTTTATTTGTCAGTCAGTGCTTTCCTTTATTGAACTTAAAGACACTGCCTTAATTTTTCCTTGTTCAACCAAAATCTGAGTATTCTTTATATGATTAATAACACTGAAAAACAAGTTTTAGTTAACGAACTAAAAAGGATATTGATTTTTAAGGAACAGAAAAATACCATTTATTTTTCTTGTCAAATAGTGTTTCTTTCAAAAATTTGTGGCTAAAGTATAACATTCTATTTTTTATGAAATGCAGGTAGTTAACATAAATCTTGCCGTTCTTCTTCTATTCTGTATCTTTCTTATGTTGAGATGCTTGCATAAATGTCTTTTGTTTTTATTAAGTGCCTAATTGACAGAGCTGAATTTGAAAATAATGATTTTTAAATCTTTCACATAAACCATGACATGGTTTCTCAATCTCAGCATTGACATTTTAGACTGGGAAATTCTTTGTTTTGGGGTTTTATGCTGTGCATTCTAGGATGTTTAGCAGTAACCCTGACCTGTACCCTCTAGGTACCAGTAGCATCCCCATAAATGTTATGGTCAAAAACATCTCCCAACATTGCCATATACGGTTGAGAACCACTGATATAGGCTGTTAGAAGAAAATTGAATACTTGGTGAATATAGTGTCATACTCCTTTTCTCTGTGCCTCATTTTACCTTAGGAAATGGTTGTTAGCCAAATAAGCAGTAGTATCTTAAAATAAACAGGATTTCTACTTTGCTGGTTAATGAGGCAAAAAAAAAAAATCTCATATTGTAATTGTCTTCTGTTGTTTTTATCCACCCCTAGCCCCACCTCTACAACATCTGTGGTCTTAATTAGTAGGTCCATGAGTTTAGTGTAGGACTCATGTATCCTGCACGTCATCTTTGATTTGATCTACTTTTTTGCTTCCTTTTCATCTCTGAGGAAAGGAAATGATCACTCTTTTATCTACCTTCTTTTTATGCAAATCTCCTTCAGACTGGAAGCTCCCTGAAAGCAGAACCACGTCTACTTCCCCAGAACCTAACACTGTGCTTTCATGTTTGTGGGATGAATTTTTACTTTATAAGTGCAACTTTGTTTGCATGCACATTTTATTTTTGATACTACATACATTTTTAAATAGGGAACAGCTTATATTTGTTGCAAGTAAAATATGTTTCTGTTGGATTAAGAAGGGCTACTTTGTGAAATAAACAATCCTCATATTGTTTATCTTAAAATTCTTTATATGTTTTTATATTTGCAAATGTATTTGTGTAGAGATACCTATTCATAAATATGAAGTTATATTAACTTTTTAAGGTATAATTGAAGCCTTTCTATTCACAGCCTTTCTATTTATATATTTAACTCCAGGTGACTAACAGATTGAATCTTAACAGTGCCAAACACACTGGTGCTATATGGAAGAGTAGTGGATTAGATTATGTCCCCCCAAATTCTCTGAAGCTTGAATTGTGTCCCCCAAGTTTTATGTATTAGAAACTTAGCCCCCACTGTGACAGTTACAAGGGTAGGAAATCCTATTATGGTAATTGAAAGATGGATCCTTGAAGAGGTGGTTGGATTGTAGACCATGCAGTACTGAATGAATTATAAATGGTGGTCAGGGTTGTGGTTCTGAGGGCTTTAAAGGAAGAGGAGAGTCTGTCTGTCTCTCTCTCTCTGCTTCCACCATCTTGCAATGTGAGACCCCTTGGTCACTGTTGCCACCACCAGATGGACTTTGGATTTCCCAGCCTCAGAAACTGTAAACAATAAATTTCATTTTCTTTATAAATCACCCAGTTCCAAGTATTTTGTTATAAGCAACAGAAATAGGAAGGAACTTCAGAAATAGTCTCTTCTGCAAGGGACTTATACTGGGGACCAGTCCTTAATTTAAAATAGTCCAGCCCAGGAGTCTGGCAAAAATTTTATTATTCCTTGAGAGAAATGTAGCTGTATCCCAAAGTTCTTCAACTTTTAAGTGATTAGCTAGAGTCATCCCAGAGATACCCAAGTAGGCTTGAATCTATTCTAAAGGATTCTGAATCCGTTTGGGAAATTTAGATCGTGTTTCTTAAAAGAGTTAAAAGCCCCAAACACACCTTGATTCTTTAAGACCTAACTGGTCCCAGAATCATCTTCTCACATACCCAAAGCCACATCATCTTGTTCAAACTAGTCAAAATGGGTAACCCCAAACAGTCAAATAGGTGTTCCAGAATCATGTTGGTTTTGAAGTTTTGGAGCCTCACAGCTATAAATATTTTGTTACTGGCATCTATTCTAAATCACTGGCTATATTGTTACCATATTCCTATGGGACCCTTATCTCTGTAGGAATGCAGGAATGATCTCGGGAGTGGGTAGGATAGAAGTAGGAGCCTGCAGAATCAGATATTTCTGAAGTTCTCTGTTATTCTATTTATACTGTCTTTCCTCCCTTTACTGTAAATTTGGCCTGTTATAAAATGGCTATGTCTAAACATATATCTGTATTGTTTAGGGAAAAAAAGTGATATAGGGACTACAATTTAAATGAGCCTTATCTTTATAAGAAACTGTCAAACGTTTTCCAGAGTGTCTGTACCATTTTACATTCTCACCAGCAATGTATGAGTGATCTAGTTTCTCCACATCCTCACTAGCATTTGGTGTTATCACTATTTTTTATTTTTGCCATTCTGATAGGTGTATAGTGATATCTCACTGTGATTTTAATTTCTACTTTCCTAATTAAAGATGTTGAACATCTTTTCATATGCTTTTTTGCTATCTGTTTATCGTCTTCAGTGAAATTTCTGTTCATACATTTTGCTCATTTGTGAATTGGATTGTTTGCTAACTGAGCCATCTCTTTAAATGTCTTTTTTTTTTTTTTCCTTTTTGTCTTTTTTCGTGACCGGTAATGGGATCGCAACCCTCGGTGTCGTGCCCACCCCGCGCTAAGCCAGTGAGCGGACCGGTCTCTATATGGGATCCGAACCCTCGGCGGGAGTGCTGCCGCGCTCTCAAGCGCCGCACTCAACCTAGTGTGCCACCGGGCCGGCCCTTTAAATGTCTTTTTTAAGTTTTTTTTTTTTTTTTTAAACCAATCCAGTGACTTAAGAAGTCATTAAGTAGGATTTTTCAAATCCTTCTAGGTAAAATGTATATAGCATTTCAAACATGATTTTATAATGTACTAAGCAGAAGAGTTCTCATATTCTCTCTGTGCTCATTACAGAGTATGGTACTAATACTGTGTAAAAGCAAAAAAGTTTCAGAGATATCTTTACTTAGAATGCTAAGTAGAGTGTACAGGTATATACTTTGTACATAGCTATCATAATGTTTCTAACCTTTTTTATTTAAAATAAGATGATTTGTGTGAAGGTTTCAGAATGACATTGTGGAATATTAATTAGAAATTTTTCTATTTGTGCAAAATGGTAAATATAGGTCTAAATTTGTATGCGTCAATAAATTTATAATCTTATTTCTCTGTTCTTTATGAATGTCAGTTTATTATATAATCCTTGGGAACCTCATAAATCCTTGTGAAGGTCTATAGATAAAATTAAGGATACACAGCAATAGAAATATTTTTCATTGTCATTTTTTTTTAAAGCCCTATCAGGTTCCAAAAAAAGGGCTGATTTGGGGACTTTTGAATGTAATCGCTAACTTTAGTTAAGCTCTAAAACACTGCCACTCTGTGGCAACTCTGAGGCATAGCAGCTCCCTCTTTATTTCTACAGACAAGGATGCCGGCAAGTGGCTTCTAAATTCCCTTCCACCGTTATTCAGGAAGCTGAAATATCTTTGTTCAGTGGTACAGGCCAGCTACTCCCCTGAACCTCTCTTCCTATCCAGTTTTATAATTCTGAAATCCAGCCATTGGCTGCTTCTCCTTGAGAGAACTTGAGCCAATAGGAAAGAGCTAAGGTTTCCAAGTCACAGGAGTTCACATTAAGGCGCTGGCACTTGTGAGGAGTGTGGTCTGAAGCTCATTATTTAGCCTCTCCTTGAACAGTCTCATCATCTTAAAATATATATATATATATTTTTTTTTTTTTTTTGTGGTTGGCCAGTAAGGGAATCTGAACTCTTGACTTTGGTGTTATCAGCACCACACTCTCCCAAGTGAGCTAACTGGCCAGCCCTGTTTTTCAATTTTATCTGGACATTCTTATTAAATACTATTACCTGTTTTTATTGTGTACATTAAGAAAGTCACAGAGGAATAAGCATATGTTAAGAGTTGTGACTTGAGATAAATTTGGGCTCAATATGGTTAGGGAAGAAAGGTTTTATGTAACCTTGACTCTTTATATTCTTTTTAGGCTTATTATTCTATATTCTACATTCTTGCACAAAGGAAATTAGTAGAGAAGAGTGTTAATTCTTCGTGGTGGGGAGAATATGATTTGTTGTAAAAATATATTGTATTTTTAAATATTTAGAAAAAGTATAAATAATTGGAGGAAAGGTTATTTCATATACTATGATAGAATTTGCCTAGCAGCTGTTAAAAATCTCTTATGAAAATTATAATCTAAAATTATTTGGGAAACTACAATGAAACAGCAGATGATCTGTACATGTTG